GGTTCAGTATGCATGTCCATATATGCAGTTTGTTCATTCATTCATGTTAATTCTTAACCTTTTTATTATTTCATTTTTCTATGTACCATCGGGTGCATGAAGTGCAAGAGTAGTGGCCCAACACAAATTTCTACCTTTCTTAATTTCACCAAGGCATAATTCATTAAATAAGGTATATATATATATATATATATATTCAGACACGTTGAATATATCTGCTTTTCACAGGGTATGAAGTTGAATTGGACATAGTTCCAATGCTCTATATATAGGATCTCACTTTTGGAGATCCAGTAATGGTTATTTTGAGAACACACTAGGGGATTTACTTGATAAGTCGTAAACCTATTTAAGATTAATTTTAATTTTGAAAAAAATTAGTTTTCCACATAATATGTTTGAATTTGATTTTCGTGTATTTTTTTTTCCAACTCCTCTTCTTACTAATTTTACTCCCTCTTACTATTGAAGTGTGTTCTTGTAGTGTATATAAAATTGTGCAAAATTGGGGAGTAAAATAGCATATTGTATAGACATTTTAATAAGGTTTAAAAAATCGATCTTTTCTTTCAATATATTAGGCTAAAGTGGGCCAAGTTATAGGTTCATGTTAAGTGACCTAACCTATTCTCATCTATAAATTGAGATTAGATATTTAAATAGGCTAATCAAAATTTTATTTAAAGAATCTATTTTGATATTATGCTACCAATAATTACATTAGCATATTTATTTAAATAGGTTGACTTATGAAAGTGATTTTGTAAATAAGCTTTTAAAAAAGCTTCAACCCAATTAGGGTTTGTCACACATCGATCCTAAAAAGGTCAAATATATGTTATGTTATAGATCTCCATCAAATGACGTGACTTACTTCCACAATAGTTTATTGTTTAACCTACATTTGATCTTGTCAAGTCTAATCCATTATAGGATATACAGTCTAAGCTTGAGTTATTTTGAACTTGACCATAAACTAGCAAAAAAAAAGCTTTTTAATGTTAAGATGTTGATATATTTGAATAAATATATTATCACATGTGTTTATTAATAATATTATATTAGATTTTATAGTAATATTAGAAGTAAAAAATTGGCCTAATTAAAAAGTTAGGGTTATTGGTATGAATAAATGCTTAGTCACTTATCATATTTAAAAGATAGGTATGTTAACAAATTAGAATATATTATTGCCAAGCAGGTTTCAAATAAGCTTGTAAGTGACACCACTTTTAAAAGGTTATACTTAGACCTTGGGAGTAAAACCTATAACATTCTTAAGTTAGGATTAGGCCTTGTATTTGAAACAAGGGTATGTTACGTAGGAAAACAAATAATAATCAATTACTTTTGTTTAACGTTACGTGGTTTAATTGTCGCATTTGTTTTACTCTCCCTACAACACACATGGACCCCTTATTTATCAGAATATGCTTTTTTTGTCCCAGCCTTATTTTATTTTATACTTAGTGGGGTTAAGCTACTTGTGTTGGAAACATTGATGAGTGCTTCTATATATTACCATGTCGATTGAAACAGAAAAATTCTATTTGGATGTTGAAAGATACAAAATTTCTTACTCTGGTTCTTCATCCTTTGTTATTATAGTTTCTAAAATCAATGAAATCTTTGTGAATTTTGATATAACTCAATTTATGAATATGAAAGCACTAGATCGATGAAAATAAATGGGAAGAATTTAAATTATAGTGCAAAGATCAAATTGAGAGGCATAGTTTAAGGATCGAAATATCCAAAATTGTTTTACTTTCATATAAAATGATATGCTATAATAGTTTCAAATAGATATTAGCATGTAATAAGATATTTAACTAAAGGGAATGATTACTAATGCCAAAAACAAACATAATTTTGGCGGAAGTTAATTTTCTTACTTCAAGTTAAAAAGAGTTGTTATTTAAATTGCTTTTGCTATACAAACACCACATATATTTGTAAGCTCTTGACAAAACACTAATTTGGTATATCATGAATTGCAACCATCATGTTGGTTTCCAAAATTTAACACAAAATAAGTTACCAAGAAATATAATCCTAGAATGTTTTTGCAGCAAAGGAATAACATGTTTAGTTGATAGGGGTACGTTTTTCCCTCCTCATGTGAAACAAACCATGATCTCTAACCGTTTTAAGAATTCTTCACAACTAGTTCCACCAGCAAGGTTGGTATTAGGTAAATGTCCTTTCACAAGCTAGGATTCTAAACGCGTTTTTTTACTAATTATTAGTATCCCCAATTATAATTATATTTTGCAATTTCTGAAATCAAAGTTATTTAATTCAAATCACTTTGTTGTAAACTAGTAACAAAAAATAGAGGTAGCAACATATGAACTCCGAATACGAGGGTTCCCCTTTTTAAGGTTAAGTCACATGATTGGTTGAATTGGAAAATGTTCAGGCGTAAATCAGGTGCTCTGTAGGCGTTAATTTGTCACCCAAAAAAAGTTTAAGGGTCCAAATTTAATATAACATATCTCTTAGGATATTATATTTCAAGCATTCCAATAGTGGATATAAATTCACTATGTCTTAGGCAAACTTACATTGCAGGTAAGTTCAAATATTGAAGTGGTTACTTTTGAGTGGGTTTTATCTCATCACCACCCTCAATTTGAGTGTTAATATTCTAATATTGGAGTTTCGACATAGGAAGAGCTATAAACTCAAGTGCATATATATGACAAACCCATAAATCTAATGTCTTTAAGGTTTTGAGTCAAATTGTGGTTTCAAATTTAGTTATGTAGTTCTTTTTTTAACTATTACTTGCAAATATCTTATTGCTTTTAGCCCCTCATTTCTAACTAGTATTAATACAACAAAGGCTTGGCAAGATGAGTATTATATAGAGGATGATATATTGTTCATGGATACATGTGTGTGGATGCCTTTTGAGTTTGGACTTATGTATAAAGTTTCCTATAAATATTGAGGCTAGGCGGCATATTCCGTTGAAGTAGTAACCAATGATAATACAAGTATACGAAGAAGCTCTCAAGAAGTTTGTAAACGAAAAGAGCTTGGAAGCAACCCAGGCTCTTCTTAACATCATCAAATACTCGGAAAAATCTTCGCTCAATGGGGAGTAGCCATATGTTAAGGACACACATGAATGAGAGACTTCGAGATTCTAAGTAAGAGTTATGTGAGTAAAAGAAATATCATATTAAAAATAACGGATAAGTTCAAGTATATATAAATAGTAAGACTCATAGATCTAACACCTTAAAGTTTTGGATAAAGAAATAATATCAATCACATCTTTATGGATCTTCTTTTATGCTCATTAGTTCCAAATCTTTAATTGCTTTAGAGTGTCTCATTCCTTACAATTATATATGTTCATCAAATAGTGGATTAATTTAAAAAAGAACGACCCCTTTTTTATTAATACTAATCAAGAGAATTTAATTTAACTTGGAATTGATTAAGATTGTAAGACTTTTTATTAACAAAGAATTTATAATAACAAATAGTGGATTGTAAGAATTATTTACTAATAAAGCGTTAATATGGTGGTTTAAGGTCCCATTAGATCTCAGTATGATCAAAAGGTTAAGGGTGATGATTAAACGATCAATGGTTCGATTCTTGTAAGTGACATTTATTGGGATGAGCCGTCACACATCCGAAATGAATTAGTTCTTTACCCATTGGGTGAATGAGAAAATACATTTGTTAGAGGAAAAATAAAATTTATAGTAACTTAAACGAATAAGAATCAACTGTCTCAAGTTGGTGTCATCAACTCTGTCCCGACAAATTATATACTGCCATATCATTCATCTCACTTTTCCGTTAAAAAAATATTTATTTCTGATTTGATTTCTTATAACTTTTTGAATGACATGATAGTATATATTTAGTCGGAACATGATTGAGAACAACAACTTGGGACAAATGATCCCTATCCAAAATTAGACTAAGTCACAATATGATGATGCTATGAAGAGAAAAATTATACATATACCAACCCCGTTATCATGTTAATTCAGTTAACTTTACGTATAGCAAAAAACAACTTCACCCACCACTAACATTACAAATTTACAATTCATAGGGTTTTAATTTAATTTACTTTACCTTGGGTCCTTGTCATTGAGTTAGCAGTGTGTCAAACACTACACAGAGTGATAGCTGAGAGAAAAGGACAGGTAGAGAGAGAGAGAGAGAAAGAGAAAGAGAAAGAGATGTTTGATTTTAGAGTTTGTATTAGGGCTTGATAAAGATGGTTTTGCTCAGATTATTAAGCAAGTAGAGAATACATTACAATTACAATATTACTTTTCCTTTTCTATTTTTGTTCTTTAAAATACACACAGTTCACACGAGACAATTAACACCTCTCATCCTGGGTATATAAATAAATATATATAGAGCATCAAGCCACAAAAATATTCAGTGGTTTTATTCTAATTTCTATTATATATATATATTTTGTGATTGAATATTATAGTGTTAGAAAGAGAAGGTGAAGGAAGAGAGAAAGAGATAGAGAGAGAAAAAGATGGGAAGGGGAAGAGTTGAGTTGAAGAGAATTGAGAACAAGATCAACAGGCAAGTGACATTTGCAAAACGTAGGAACGGGCTTTTGAAGAAAGCTTATGAACTTTCAGTTCTTTGTGATGCTGAGGTTGCTCTCATCATCTTCTCCAATAGAGGAAAACTGTACGAGTTTTGCAGCAGTGCAAGGTATTCAATAAAATGTAAAATCACATTATATCATAAAAATTTCATCACCCCAAATAAGCAAAACATAAAACAAAGTTAAACTCTCTTTCTTTCTTCTATACTTGTGTATATACACGTCCACAAAAATATAATTTTTCCTACACCCTTATCTTACTTCTTATATATATATATGACCTTCTTTTTTTGTTAGTTTTAAATATATGGGTTTTGATTTTGATTCCAAGTTCCAAGATCTCTAAGTCTCCCACCCTTTGTTACAACTAGCTAATAGCCTTTGCTAGCTTGTGATAAAAATAAACAAAGTTTTTTTTTTGGTTTTACATGAATAAAGTTGATTTTCATTTTCACTGTTAGAGTTTTTTCCGTTTCTGTGAATGTCTCGGTGTTTTTAGCAGGTTGAGTGTTTCTGAGTTCGTATTGATGTTAGATCTGCAACTGGAAAACATCACAAACCCCAAACTATACACTTCTGTATATAAAATAAAATAAATAAAAAAGATAAGCCTATCACTGTTATATTGTATTGTAATATTCTATTGTATTTTGTATTGCCTCTATTTTGTTTGTGCAAAGTTTCAAGGCTTCAGCTTTATCTTTCTTTCCCTCTTTTGGGTCTCAACCCAGCATCTGAATTTCCATTTTTTTGCTTCATTTGTGTTTGAAACAGATCTGGTTCAAAAGCTTTTCTAAAAAGTAAAATTGGAGTCTCTGGTTCAGAACTCTTTTCGGTTAATTAAGTGTTTCACATAAAATTAATTATTTTCTTCCATTTGGAGTCATACCACTTAATCTGCTTTTGATTTCAGTGTTGAAACAATCACTCAAACAACGTAACCCTTGTCTCATTTTTTAAAAATAAATTAAATATGGGTCTAGGGTTTCTTTTATATTTCTAAATAGCTTGTTTTTTTCTCTGCATTTGTAGTTTTTTTTCTTGTCCTCCTCCCATTTAAGCTTTCTTTTTTGTTTTACTTATTTGAAATTTTATTTTATTTTTTGGTGAAGTTCTTAATTACTTGGGGATTTTGTCTCTGTTCCATAACCATGTACCAAAGAGCAAAATGGTGTGTTTTTCATTTTTCTTTTGGAGTCAACCACTCATCATTTTCTTGCTTGATTACAATTCTCTATGTTCCTACTGACACCACAAATGTTTTCAATTTTATCATTTGATGATATGATAAATACTTATTGTTAAATCACACTTCACCTCTATCTTCTCCTCTTCCATCCCAAACATGTTTTTCAATCACTTCAATTTTGCTTCTTATAAAGCTGCTCCTTCTTTCTGCTGTCAGTATATTCTCCTAAGGATAAAATTGTGATCCCTTCAGATCTATTTGCACCCAAAGTTTGATATGTTACATTCATGTATTTAATTACGGGCTTTAAAAGTGGCACACTACATAAATGATATAATACATAATTGATGTGTTACTAGGTTATTAACTTATTATCAAACCTTAACTTTGTTTAATTTTTGTAAGCATTTTTGTGGTAAAATAAAACTAATAAAATCACCAGCTACCCTCAATCTTGGTCAAGAGATTCAGAGGTTGATGTCATTTGATGATTTTTGATAATTTCCATGAAAGAATACTGACTTTTTGTACGATCTATTTCTTGTTGAATACAACTTTCCAAAATGTCTATACTTCTTCCTTGAGTATAGTTTACATCTATATAATAAATGTAAATAGTTTTTCAAAAAACTTAGATTATATTTATAAGAATAAAAATGATTTGGAAGCATGTTCACTAAATGTTTTTGTTTTTCCTGTAACCCAAAGAGCATGCATTCTAGCTCTTGTCTTTTATCAGTTATCACTTTCTTTCTGTGCTAATTAATCTAGTACTTCATTGAAAATTATGTTATTTTTCTCCCTTTTTAATTTATAATTTGTTTAATGTTATTTAGCTCAAAAATATTTTGGATGAGTTTGTGAGTACCAAGTACTTTTTCTGACATGTAATAAATAATACATGTATTTTTTTTATTTATAAACATGCAGCATGCTGAAGACACTAGAGAGGTACCAGAAATGTAACTATGGAGCTCCTGAGCCTAATGTGTCTACACGGGAAGCTTTGGTAATGGTGAATAATTAATCCCATATTTAGTATTTTGATTACATTACTTGTGCATTAAACTTGTCTAATGCAATGTTCTGGTTGATCCAAGGTTTAGAAGAAGAATATCAAGGAGATAAACATTATGGTGAAGGGGGGAAATGAATACATGTCAATACTCTAGAACATAATCAATACTTTCTAGCAAATAAAACCTTACATTATTGGTGATTTCTGTGATTGGTACAATCAAAGTAATGTTGTAATGGCCACCATGAGTTTTACAAAAATTACTTGAACTAGTTAAATTAGCATCAAAACTAGACATCTACTTTGAGAAATTAAGGTGGTAGTAGAGATTATTGTGAAAAAGATTTATTAACTTGTTTTACCTTCTCAAAGTACTAGATGTCCAGTTTTGATATTAACTTCGTAGAAATAACATTTGCTTATTATTTTAAAATGTCCAAGATTCCTAGGTTTTGTTTTCTTAAAAAAAAGCATTTAAATTTTTTGTACACAAAACTCTCAAGATGATATAAGTTGTTAGGTGTCAAAGGTCACATATTGATTCAGAATGAGTTAATAGTCTTTTAATATGATGTCAACAGTCTCTCATCTGTGGTAGTTTCAATATAATTAAGGCCTAATTATTCTAATAAATTATTACATCATAATACAAATATTGTGTCCACCTAAAACCTTCAGAACTTGTTCACAAAAAACCCAATAAAACTTAGGCTTACACTGGCTGGTAATGTATGAGTCAGCTGCATTATGTGACTTTGTACAAACACAAGACAATGATTTACATGTTACTGAATCTGACACAAAAAGCTTCCCATCCTTTGGGACAGAATTTTGTTTCAAGGACAAAATCAAAGGTACTTCAAAATTATTACCTATGTTTTGTCCTTTTTCCAAAATATTTGTCAAAGTTCTCCTTAGTATTCTGTAGCATTTAGCTCATCTTTCACCCAAAAGCTTGCTGAATCAGTATCAGGATTCATGCTCAAATAATCCTCCATGGACCACAGTTTTGGTGATAGATATTGTTATTAAGATACATTGATTTTATGGAATGTTTTGCTACCTTTTCATAAATTCATAGAAAATTTAAATAATGATATCATTTGCCTTCAATTTATTTTCCTAGTTAAACTGTTTCCAGCATGTTGTTAAGATTATTGACAACACTAGGTGTTGGTTCTTTACCAAATAGTTGGCTACACAAGAAGTGTTCATGAAACATCTAGGGCCTTCTAGTGTTAAAGGCCATAAGAATCTACAAACTTCCATATGATAAGTTTCATCTCATTTTATATCTCTGCACAGTGATAATGATGGGAATTGGACTTCAAAATTGATATTATGATAATATTATGGTATAGTGGGTAAAGAATTTGGAGGGATTTTCTGATCTGATTTTATATATTCTGGTCTTTTTTGGCTTGTCAAACTTCATATATTTACACTTATACCTTTCTTTATAAAGGAATGGATTTATAAGATACAAAAAAACCATGTTTTAATTTTTTCAAATGAACTCTAGTTCATGCATATGTAGTGCCTAGATTCATGTATGCAGAGTGTAAGGTGAGGCCTTAATATGCCTTATTGTTGTCATGAATATGGATCTGAACAAGATATATATTTACATAAGTAGGATAATAATATTAAAAAAAGAAAATTTAATAAGTTATGACAGTTGTTAATTAGTTACCTATTTATTTATTTTGTTTTTCATTCATGTTACTATCCATTTTCTACTCAACCCAAATACTTAGGTACTTTCAAATACATAATTAAGCCATTGCATTCATTGATTTTGGTGGGATGAGTGTAGGAGTTGAGTAGTCAACAGGAATACTTGAAGCTGAAGGCACGTTATGAAGCCCTCCAAAGATCCCAAAGGTTATTGGTCATATATGCTAGTTCTATTTTGTTTACCATTTATAGATATGCATGGTTGAGTATATGAGAGTAAGTCATTGATGTATTTAAGTGTTGCCACCCTCTTAGGAACCTAATGGGAGAAGATCTTGGCCCTCTAAGCAGCAAAGAGCTCGAGTCCCTTGAAAGGCAGCTAGATTGTTCTTTGAAGCAAATCAGATCAACAAGGGTACGAAAGTTTCCAATGTTACCTATTATATATGAAATTATCTTCCACCATATAATCCTAATACATTCTAAAAAAGTAGCTCTAAAAAATAGCTATAAAATTGAAGTAGCTATTTACTAATATGCTACTACAATATTAAGACAAGTTTCATGCATTATCTAGCAATTAACATTTTATTTCTTAAAATATGGTACTAAACATTGAGTTCTATAGTGGAGCAATTATGAGTGATAATCTAGACATCCGTACAAGTCTATATTATTGGTGAGCATGGGTCAGGTAAGATTTGACTCTTACCCAACCTTTATAAATGTTGGTCGAATAATTTTTTTAACTCAGACTTAAACCTAGATCTAAAGTTAATTCAACCCAAATATCGATTGGGCCGACATTTGAACAAGACCCTATATGCAATTAAGTATAATGCATACACCATTATTTCATATTATATATAACAGATGTCGTCATAAATGTCATTACTCTATACATAATTGAATATAGACATATAAAAATATGACCAGTGAGTGATAATGAATATAGTGAGTAAATGTCATTACTCTATACATAACTGTGTCAAGTAATAGAAGTAATCTTCTTTCAACAAAATAGGCATCATAACTTTCTCTATTTTTATAGCGTTATTTAAGTGATCATATATATATATATATGGGGAGTAAAAAAAGATTGAAGATAGTGTATGGTTACCGTTGTGTGTAGGGTTTATATTTGGTAGTGGATATAGATGATTCTTATAACTACAATGAAGGAGATCTTTTCTTTGTCACCAATTTACCGATGAGTAGATATTTGACTCTGTTAATCCTATCACATGACTTGGAATAGAAAATGGTTTACCATGTGAGGAAGTTATGATTTTATTTATTTGGGATATAATAAACATAGTGTTGTTGTAGATGAGAGAAATCATAATTGTGATTGATGACTATGTTGATGTTGTGAGAAAAAGAACTTCATCTCATGTGAGACTCTAATCCAAGGGAAGGGATCCTTTTGATTTTTTGAGGGACGTAGTTATTAACAATGAAAGGGTTAAGTATTAATGAGAAAAAATGAATATGCTTGCAAATAGATTTTCTTCTTCTATTAGTGATAAATGGAGCATTCAGGTATGTAATTCTAAATGTACATTTTTTCTCAATAAAGTAAAATCTCTATCTAACAAGTAACAACACTTTTATTCCTCTACAGACCCAATTCATGCTGGATCAGCTCTCTGATCTTCAACGCAAGGTATAATAACAATTGTATTTTCCTTGGTCACCTTTTGCTCTCTTCTTCTGCCACTGCATGCATGCTTTTAGTACTCATCAATTAATTTCACTTGTGTAGGAACACTTGCTAAGTGAAGCTAACAGATCTCTGAGACAAAGGGTAAGAAACATCTCACCCATATAATTCTGAGGATCACATTACTATGATATATATACATTGTACATATCAAATATTGTGAGAATCAGGTTCATGCATGAGCATGACCAAAACAAATTGTAGTAAGATAGAAATCATAGAATGGTATAAGTGAAATTGTTTGTTGTTTAATTATTAGCAGCTGGAAGGGTATCAAATAAATTCACTCCAACTAAATCCTAGTGTTGAAGATATGGGATATGGCAGACACCAAGGTCATGAAACTCAGGGTGATCACCTCTTTCATCAAATGGAGTGTGAGCCAACATTACAAATTGGGTATGCACTCTTGCTTCACCTCATTCTTCAATATTTAGTCATGTCAAGTGTTCCATAATGGTTTACTACAAATGGACCCTTATATGGACATAATGATTTATGTAATTTTACTAAAACTCAGGAGTATGAGTGTAATTTACACGAATAGAAATTGTTTCAATGCAGATATCAGCCTGATCCAGTATCAGTAGTGACAGCAGGCCCAAGCATGAGTAATTACATGGCAGGGTGGTTACCTTAGTCCAAAGCACTATAATAAGATCCACTCCAGCACCAAATTTGCAGTTTCAATTTTATTGCGACAAAAAAAAAGTAAATCGCTTTGGCTGTGTAATAGACTTATTTTAATGTATAAATATCTACTGTGTAGTATGAACAATATATAAGCAGTGCTTTTCTGTGTGTGTTTTCATAAAACTGCACTTTCTTTGTTTTGCTACTTCTTTTTCATAACAATAATATAATAATAGTAATCCTTTGCATCCCCTTATACGTTCCAATGATCTCACCTCTTTCATTGTGATTCTTGTTGGAATTTTTGTTTCTTTTTTATGTTCCGGTTTATGAGACATTGAAGTTGCTTAAATATTTATTGAGTATTAACTGAAATTAGTTACCCGTGTAATTATTCTATTCCTTTATAAAAAATTATGTTTAAGGTTTTGCATATAGATAAAGAAATGACTAAATGATATAATTAATTTGGTAAAGTTTAATTAAAATTCTCATTTAATCTTTATTTATTTCCCATAAGTAAGAGATAGAGAAATATGAGGTGGAAAAGTTTTAGTTAAAGAGATACTTATATGGATCACACAAATACAAACATTTAGATAGAAACATATAACTTAGACTCTATAGTTCTAGAAAGACTTTCAATAAAAATGAATCCTGTATGGATCCAACAATAATTATCTTACACAATATTCTTTCGATGGAGATCACATGTCCCAATTTGATATCTCCAATCCTATCCCGTCCATTTATAGTTAGACATGTGAATTTAATTTATTATTTTTGTAAAATAAAATTAAAATGAAATGTTATTTTTATTTGTTGGAAAACACTAATTGATACGAGACGGAGTGACAAATAATTTATGGGATACATGATCCTTGTTCTCCTATTGAGCCACACATTTAATACCGTTCTTGACCAAAATCAAAGAAGAGCATATATGGACACCCAAGATTTAATGACCACGACCACACTCTAAAAATATTTAACCACTCACTATTAATGTTTTTAGATTACAAGTTTTCAGGAAAAGCTTGCAAACTCATCACAGGAACAAATATCAATTAGGATGCACAAAAACAACAAAAATTAATTATAAATTGTTGGAGTCAAATGTGATTGTGGGCAAATCTCATATTAGTTTCAAAAATTGAAAACGTTATAAGCTAAGGTTTATGGATCTATGGAACGAGTTTTAATATGGCTAATGTGGGTTGGTGGAGTTGGCATAGCAAAGCCTACACGGCCATATCAAGTAGGTCCAAAATCAACTTTTTGTCTCAAATTCAATTATAATAAATTTTTTAATTTTTAACTGATATAAAATGTTTTCATTTTCTTCTCGAAAATAATGACTAGTTTAGG